TAGATTTGGATTGATCTGATGGAAAACGATTATTGTTGTCATGCCATCAATCAAACCTCAAATAAGTTTGAAATTGTCGAAGTGACAGACACAGCGTTACTGCCATTTTCGATTCAGTGGAAATGCTACAATGTGATCAAAAACTTCTAGCTATAGGGATTCGATACAGATGCGTTATTACCAACGAAGTCTCGAGAAAGGTATGAGAAGCTATACACGCGTTTTATTAAATGGTGCAACAATAATGAAATGAAAATACCGAATGAAGAATAGGTATTTTTGGCTTATTTCATTGAAGTGTCTGAAACCTAGACACCAAACTCCTTATGGGCCTGCTGGCTTCCGCAATGACAATTAACAAGTTTCGTATTATTTTTTCCCTACGTCGGCATCAACCCCTATTGGTCGATTTCGTTACGTATGGAGACAGTAGTTGGTCCCGCTTTGAGGACAGCTATGATTCATATATGAGAGTAGATATATGGTTTTTCTCCGATTGGCAGCAAATAATAATTTTGCTGACACATATCAATCAGCAAAGTATTACTTTTCCTGCCTGCAGCAAAATGGTTACTTTGCTGATTGATATGTATCAGCAAAATTAATAATCCATAAATCGTTTATAATTTCCTTCATATTTCATCCGAGACTTCTACGGCAACAAATTAAACTGAATATTTTTTACCATCTCCCTTATTTCTGGAGGTGTAAGTACTTCCAGGTCGCTATCACTGTCCATTATTTAATAATTCAAATATACAGATATTGTTTCGCACAACTGTCAGAAATTTCATGAATTGTCAAACTATAATTATTATGGACATTTCCATAGCAACCAACCATTCCAACAACTGCGATTTCTATCAAATTTTATTTTAATTGAACACTACAGGAAAAATAAAGTGATATTAGTTATTATGAACAATCGGAGAAAAAATTATATGTTCAACTCGGCAGCAAAGTAGATTGACTGCTTTAGCATTCCTAGCCTCGCTACGCTCGGCTATGAATTCAGCCTCGGCAGTCAATCTACTACTTTGCTGCCTAGTTAAACAAATAACTATTTTCCTCATCCAGCGTAAGGTCTTGACAAGCCCTCCCTCACAGTGGAAAAGTATGTGTACTGCTGTTTCCTCCTTTTTCTGACAGAAGTACAGATACTATACACCTTACTGAATTATGTGAAAGGAACGCTTTTGGCTACTATACCAGAGGCGTACTACAGAGGCAAGCGACTGGTTGATCTCTCCCAAATTCTACGCCACAGGCGAAATTGTCACACTTTTTCGATTCTCCAATAGTTTTTACGCAAATATCGTACATCCTATCCTTTCTTCATAGCGATAAATTAACATTTCGTAGATATAAGGGCCTGGAGGCCAAAAAGTGTGAATTTTCAGGAACGCCCTGTAACTTAGGAACGAAATAAAGTAGACAAAATCTGACCGAGTTATCATGTGTTTCGAAAAAAGGGACCCAGGACCGCGAGAGGGATTGGAGATAAATCAAAATTTCCGCAGGTTTCAACGTGTTGAAAAGGAATATTCTCAGATAAATTATGAACATGATAAAATGTATATGAAGGAATACATTGAGATTTCGCACTCTATGTGATGAAAATATCAATTCTCCCTTGGTTTATTCAACAGAAAACAACTACTTTCCTGGCTATATGCCACGACGAACATTGAATTATATCTATTGAACACACACGATAAGAATTTGAAAACAAAATCTCCTGAAGTTGAGAATTTGTATTCCCCTTCAGATAAAAACATATATGCGTTCAATATCATTCTGAATATTCAACAGAAAACAACTACTTTCCTGGCTATTTGCCACGTCGAACATTGAATTATATCCGAAAGGAGAGCATGAAAAATAAAAATCCTCTGAAATTGAGAATGGACATCATCTCTCAAATCGGATAAATAATATGATGTATTATGATATGAAAATATAACTTACCAATATGTTCAGTATTGAAATGAAAATTGAAATGTATAGGAGAAGTATACTTGTATAAACTCTGATCTTTTGGATCTATCAACGTAATGTTCTAAAATGCATCTTCTATGAGATACAGGTTGTCAGAAGTACGAAAAAATTTAGGTTTATATCAATTTCTCCAAAACTCCTATTTTTATTTTGTAGAAACGAGCAGAGAAAATCCCAAATCAAGTAAAATGTACGATACTACAGTCGCGTAAACTGAAAACTATGGTTTAACGGTTTCTTCTGATTTGTTCGGTGGTCAATTTGTATGAGTCATACCAATACCATACACACCGGATGCAACAATGATAATAGAGTTTGCAGTTGTTTATTTGGTCAGCAAAATAGTGTCTCACGTGACATCATTTTTCAGAAAATGCATACACCAGATACCAGATTATCATAAGTAATATCACATTGTTCGGAATATCCGTGATAATTCAGTCGCTTCCTGCTTGTTCACGAGTATTGGTACGGCACGGCAATACAGTTGAGTTTACAATGAAAAATAGAATTACGAGAAGATATTCAGAACAATGTGGTATTTTGCTAGACTGTTTCAGGCTCACGAAGCTGAAAAAGCATTTATCATAAATGAGCGATTCATTCTGACAACTACAGCTATAATAAAATATTTGGGCCAAAGTGACAGACTTTGCTTCGCTATCCATGGTTAAACTTTGAAAAACTGAAAAACACGAACGCTGATAGACCAATCAGAATAATTGAAAGACAGCTAGTGTTTTCTCGAAAACACAAGTTGTCTCTGGCTCGTGATTGGTCAGATCATGTGATGAGTGAAATAATAGTCACATTATTTGTGACTGATGGTCAAATTTACTACTATGGTAGTAGCTATCTATTTCACATTGATCTTCCCATGTAGAGTGCCATATTTCTCAACAACAGATAGAAACATATTTATTTGATTTCGGGTAATTTTCACTTTTGAAATACACGAGATAATTCTGTCGCTTCATTGTTTACAAAATTGCGAGTCCGTCAGGGCAAATGGTATTGTTGTACGGCAACACAATTGACTTAACAATGGAATACGCAGAATTATGAGAAGCTATTCAGAACAGAGTGGTATTATGCTAGACTATTTCACGTTCACGAACCATAAAATACATTTCTTATATGAATGAGCGATTCATACTGACAAGTACAGCCATGATTATTTTATGCCAAAATGACAGACTATGCTTTGCTATCCATGGTCACATCATTGAAAACATGAACGTTGTCAGACCAATCAGAATTGAAAGACAGCTCAAGCTTTGGCGATAAGCACACGTTGTTTCTGGCTTTTGTGATTGATCAGATTATGTGAAGAGTGAAATAGTCATGGTGGTATAGACTGATACACAACCTTTCTTGTGATATACATATAATTGAAAAAAAAAACATTTATGAACAAAGTACGAAATGATATTCGACTATCATTTATCAACATGCCATTGCACAGATCGATATTTTTTTCTGTCTAACGTTTCACAGTACACTTATATTCATATCAATATTGACAATACGTATGGTGAGATATGAAGTCGGTTGAATTAAAAAATAACATTCGTTTCTGATGCTGATAAAACTTAGGAATTATCTGAATAGAAATACAGGGTATTTTTTGAGTATGTGGCCAAACTTCAAAGGGCGGTTATTTGGGTGATTCTAAGACAAAAAGTTCATATAAACATGTCCTGAAATGCTTCGTTTTCAAGATATAGGGTGTTGAAGTTGGATGTACCAATTGTTGTTTTTTATGATTACCCTGTATAAGCTTTTATTGTGGCTCAAAAAGTATTGCAATTTCCATTGAGGTTATTGGGTAATCCCAATAGGTGTTTTCAGGGAACCTATATATACATTCAAATTTGGAATCAAATCAATCTTTCATTATTTCCTCTGAAACTATGTGATATACAATGTACAATATACAATACACTTGAAAGTTGTATTTTCAATTGTTCAATCTGATAAAAATATCGAACTTGAAAAAAACTATGACATAGGTATGTACATACCTTATTTTCCATAAATATCGAAAAGTTCACCTACTGCGATGCCACTGGAATCATTATTTCGAATCAAGTTACACCAAAAGATGCTTTTTGATACTGTTATCAAAATCACCAAGTTTCATTGAAATTGGAAAACAGAATTTTGAGTAATTGATAAAAAACATGAAATATGGCGGAAATATTCAAAAATAATGTCTTAGTCGTTTTACTGTAGCTCCACTTTTCGAGAACATTATGGAATGTAATTTGGTCAACTCAAAAAACGCATCTTCATATTCCAGGTGAACCGAAAATTCAATATTGCCGCCACGAAAAATACATGCTCGGCTATTGTATTTTATTCTTTATTTTATTCATTTTTATTTTATTCATACACCATTCAACAGCCGAGGCCAATTACAGGATGGGAAAGATGAACAACTAATTACAAATTACAATTTAGATACAAACTAGATTATTACTAACTATACATAAGTTTCATACTAAGGTGAATGGAGATGGACATATCTGCATATGAGCTGAAAAAAAAAAACTATGAAAAGAGAAAAAAAAAGCTCACATGCAGATATGCACACTAACAAATAATACTACAACAATGCTCTTCTCAAACTAACCATATTAGAACAGAGGATATCGAATGAATATTGAGAAGACATATATATAATCTGAACATATTCTATAAATAGGTGAAAACTGCAGTAGATTAGATTGAGGTGTGCGAGAGTAAGAGAAATATCCATCTCTCACTGGCAATCGAGAAGCATGTATATCAATGAGAGACAGTAAATGGGGACTATCAAGTTTGTTATTTTCAACTGATAGTATTTTTCTCTATCTTTGAACAATATTGAACCATAGTGATCAGATCATCAAAATTTTTATTTTTTTTTGTTGGTTCCTTCAACATTTTCATTAGAGCTTACTTTAGGGATACCCATAACTATAACATTCTTACTTAGTTTTCCTTGTTCATTCTTATTTACCTTTAACTCCCTCCTGAGTTCCTCATTTACCTTGCTTTGGGCCCAAATTTTTCAAGTAATGAAACGTAATTTTGCTCGATATAAACCAATTTATGCATAATATCATTTATAGTATATTCCTTCGTGTCCCTTTGTTCAGCTTTGCTACTTCTCGGCTGATTTTTAGTTGCTGTCGTAACCTCCCTTTTGCATTTTCGGCAAAACCATTGATCAGCGGCGTAATAGTTTAGCCTCGCTGTTGTAAGATCCACACACTTGATATGATACCGAATTGAGCATTGATTACATGCAATTGCAAACGAATTTTTACAAGACTTATCACACAAACCACACGTGTCCGCCAATTCATGTCTCAATTTCGTTTTCTCTCTTATTTCTCTCTGCTTTCTTGCCTGCACAATAGACATTGTCCTCCTAATTGTATCTTTATCCAAGTGAATATTCGAACAAGAGCCATTATCATCTTCAACCGATATTTCTATTTGTCCATCATTGTTTGGAGAAACTTTCATCTCATATTTGTTAGGCTGTAGAAGTGTATTTTCTATGTCGAAAGGACAGCAGCAAAACAAAAATTTGATTTTGTTCAGTATAATTCTAAGTAAAATGTTTCCGAGGAGCACACTTTCAACATACATAATATGTTGTGTTCTGTAAATATGACCCAACAATTCTGCATCATTTTTTATGATCTGAGTATCGCTAACGGCTAAAGCGTTCAGAAGATTCATCAAAATAATTACTATCATGAAAATAAATAGCACGAATATAAGTTTGCTCATGATGGGAAAAGTGTGGAAATTCAAGTCAAACTCTCCTGTAAGCATCACTATGGTTTTGAACATGGATATCCCTGGATCTTTGAAGAAATCCTCATTTTTCTGTTCACTGGTCTCATCGCCTTGTTTACTCTGTGTATTAGTGAATAGGATGTAAAAACTCAAAGCGAAAGCTATGATGAGTAGGGAGTACCAAATGAGGAACTTGAAGAAATTATACGAAACTGTTCTCAGTATCACAAAATTCGTTGATAGTTTAGGATGTTGCCCAGACAACAATACTAGCTCAAATGCTGCTAGTAGAATTGAAATTGCTGAAAGTTGTTTCTTAGTGTCTTCAGATGGCGAGGGGATGAAGAGTATGAACCCTGTGATGAAAATAAGAACCAGTTCAATGTAGTTCTCGAAATTTTTGAAGTACTTGGTGGGTGATACGGCTACCTGAAACAGCTCCCTCAATAAAAGTATCAACCATGTGACCAAAAGAGTAATCCAAGAAAACATTCCAAAAAACTCCTTCAATGAATCTTCTGGATTGACATTTGCATACGAAGTAAAAATAAAGACTACTAAAGACGCAAAGAAAGCTATATAGAAAGTGAGATTTGTGTAGAAAAGCCACCTTATCCTATGCCACTTCATGAATAAAAAGCTAACGATTACAGGGTGTGTTAAAAGATGCTTAAACTCAGGAGCCTTGCTCATATAGGATATGACCTCAGTCTCATGCAGTAACTCCCTAGAACCCACACTACCGAAACTAATTTCTGGTGGGATAAGAGTACGGTAATTGAAAGTGAAACGTAAATCTTCCTTTTCCTTTCTTTCTTCAGTATCAATCTGTATACACTGGTCCAAATGCTTTTCTAGCTTCTCGGGCTCCATATCTTGGACTGGCATCACGCCAAATTTATTTTTGGCTCCTAGAGATGCTCCTAAAGCTAACAGCTCTTCTGTGATTTCTGGCTCACAATATCTCATGGCATAGTGAAGTGGTGAGTTCTTAGACTGGTCCAATTCGTTGATATCCAGAATATCTTCGTTCTTTTCAAAGTAAAGTGGTGAGTTCTCAGACTGGTCCGATTCATTGATATCCAGAATAGGTTCGTTGGTTTTAAAGTGAAGTGGTGAGTTCTTAGACTGGTCCAATTTGTTGGTATCCAGAATACCTCTTCTCCTTTTAATATACTCCATGAAGTGGCGATAGCACTTGGTCCAGTCTTTTCCAGCCTCAGGGAATGCTTTGTTTTCATAGTATTTAAATAAAGTTGTCAGGATTAAGTGTGGTTTCTGATCCTTCGGGTAGTGGTTTAAAAGAAGCTTGAATATCTCGTGGAATCCATGCTCTGCTGCTATTTTTATGTAGGAGTTTTCAATTTTTACCTTCAAATAAGGGTCAGCACCTTTATCTATCAAATGCTTCACCACTTTCGTCAACCCTTTTTCACAAGCCATCTGTAGGAGGGGTTTAGAGGTATTGTTAGAGTCAACAAAGTAGATATCGTCGTTCTCGTATTTGATAAACCCACTTTCGTTTTTAGTTTTTATGAGTTTGAGCAGCACATCAAATCTGTCATTTGAGTCGATTATTTTTTCTGGTAGCTGACCTTCGTAAAGGTTTCCACTAGTGATGATTTCTCTAGCTGTTTTTCCCCTTAGTTTATGCGAGTCCAAGTCCACTGAAATTGGGCTTTTTTCCAGTATGGTTTTGATGACATCTTTGTAGCCCTTTCCTGCTGCCCAAAGAATTGGTGAAATATCTTTACCATCACCTAGATTCACATTTATTCCTTCTTCCACCAGTATTTTAGCGCACTCGTTGAATTGCTCTTTACTTGCACTCTTCCCGAACTTGATAAGGACATGTAAAGCATTGTTGCCTTGCTGCAATGTATTAATATCGACTTTTCTTCTTTTCATACAATCTATGACCACTTTCAAAATACTGCTGTTGGTAGCATGAGCTGCACAATGGATAGCTTGCCATTCTTCTTCATTTGAATATGTTAGATTTGCGCCTAGGTCTATCAGGGCTTTGACTATTTCGGGTTTTACATTGGTCTTAGAGCAAGCTGTCAGCATGTCTAGTAATTCTGTTTCTGGGGTAGGGCAGATGCTGTTGGTGCGAAGAAGGTTAGCATTTTCATCGTCGTTGAGTTTGGTGTTCATGATTTATCTGAAACAAGAAAAATATTTGAATTGTAATTGAAGCATTTCTAAAATATTTACTGTCTTGCACTTTTTTAAATCGAGCTTAGTTAAGCTGTATCGTTTTTCTAAATTTGTGATGGTGCTAGGAAAAACCTCGGAGAAAACCAATATAATACGATCGGATTTGGTCATCCCTCTGAGGTCCTCCCTGTACGAATGCCATCATTGCTCTCGCAAGTTTTCTTCTCAAGTGCTCAGTCACCAATAAAATTGCACCTTATATTGATAACAAGTGTGTAAATACTATTTTGATAAATCTTCATGTAATGATAGATAATCCTATACAGGGTGAGTCGAGAGGAACGCACCAAACTCCAGGTGTGTATTGTGCTCGTAAAAATAATTTGAAAAAACCCAGTTCTGATGCGATTCTCATTTGTTTTCATTTCAAATTTGATTAATCAGTGGCCAAATTACAAGTGTATTTGCACGGATGGTTCCAAATCTGTAGATAATACATTCCAAATCATCTATTCTGACGGCAGAGCTTACGGCGATTTACTATGCATTGCTTTTGATCAACGACGAACCTGATAATTATATTATATTTACAGACTCTGAAAGCGCTATTTCTGGGTTACAAAATAACCAATTAAAGGTAAACACAAATGATTTATATTGGAAAATAAAAGAGATTCGGTTCGAACAGCAGAGAAATAATTCCAAAATTAAACTATGTTGGATCCCTGGTCATAGTTACATTGAGGGTAATGATAAAGCTGATAATATTGCAAAAAACGCAACCATTCCGACCAAAATTAACCAAATACAAAACTCAGATCTGACACTATTCCAAAGGAGACATAAAGAATAAATTTCAAACATATTGGAACCAATCTTCGATTCAGAGAGGTACGCGATTTAAAGAAATACAACCAAAAATCCAAGAAAGTCCTTGGGTCATCAGTAAGTGTCAATATTTTAACCGGAAAGTATTCACATCCATAATGAGACTGAGAACAGATCACTGCTGTCTTCCAGAACATCTTTATAGAGTTAAAATTAAAGACAATAATCTATGTGAATGCGAGGAAATAGGGGATATAAACCACTTCTTTTTTGGTTGCCAAAATAATATACAAAATTCTAATACTCTATATGTGAAATTGATTAATATAGGCTTATCTCCTCTTAGCTATTTCATATCAAATGTTGTTAAAAGACCTATACCATGAAAAAATTAAGATATCGAGTGACTTCATTGAGAAAAGCATTATCATCATTTAAAAAAGATTGAATATCCAACTCTGATGAAGTATAACAAATTCTTTATGTAACCACCTGATTGATCTTATCTTGAAGATGTGATGTGTTGTCTTTTGGGAAATCCATGAATGTAATAACAAAACCCACCCCACTAATCAACGGGATCTAATATTACCTTTTTACCCTACCATTTATATACCACAAATACAAACCTCACCTGATCTGGTGAAATTGGCACCCTACGGAGTCAGAAAACCAATAAACACAACAAAAGAAGAAGAAGAAGAGAAATTTGATTATTCAACTCCTACACAGAAAACGCTATCTAATGACGACGTGAGTCATTTTGACATCAATAAAAAAATATGCAACATTTTTATTGCTGATTAACTACCTTTACCTACCTACCTGCATTTCTGTCGTGTCGAGTTTGATTGATGGGTATGGTTCACGCATAAATTAGCAAGATGAGCCGTTTTAGGAAAATTTCGTCTGAAGAAACCACGAAAATATGGGAAAATCAATTCCGCAAAGTAATACCAGTTACGCACGGAATCACCAATAAATACCTATAATCATTATTGTTGTTTATTTGTATATTGTCGTTGATTCATTTTGCCAAAAAACACTCGAACTCTTCTTTTAATTGAATGAATTTTCTTACTTACTCAAACATTGTCCATCAGTTATTTCTCTCAAAAAACTGACAATAGACATGTCAGTTTTTCTCGTAAAATTGCTGATCGACGAATGTGTTTCGTTACCAAGAGAAATTTACCCGATAAAAAACAGCTCTTGTGTTTGAACTGTTGAATAGATTTGTGGCATTTTATAAGACTTTAGTTGCGTTTTATTTGTTCCATTCTGGTAACGGTGGTGGAAACAGAATGACGTTTACAAATAAAACGACAAACTTCACATCGTGTTCATGACCTTGCATGAGAGAATGGACACAGTAGATGACAGATGAAATATTTATATATTGGGGCCCGAATAATTTCAAAATCATAATATTGAAGTAAAAAATCATGAAAAAGAATCAAAATACTTATCTGGAGCAGTGATTTAGCTGATTGGAGAATTTATTTTATCCGGGAATGAATATATGAAACCTGTCTTACTAGAAAAAAATCATAAACTGGTGAACATATCACAATAAAAATGTCTTCTAAAGGCCTTCTACTTTCAGAAAGTTTCGTTGTTCATCAACAGGGCCGGACTGGTCCGTCGGGCCATGGGCGATCGGCTGTCCCGCTGGCCTGGACCTGCCTGTTGGAGATTTACTTTATACCCGATATTTGGTAAAAATTCCAAATTTCATACAAATGCATGTTTATTCAACCCTGAAAGGTGCGTTGCACATTAGTTTTTGTGTCTGGTATATGCAAAACTAGTGAAGTTCCGAAATATTTATTGTCAAATCGGACAGTTCTTCTCGACGACAGGCTCCAAAAACACCAAAAAAACGCAGCAACTTTCTGCATTAGATATATTTCATCTGCGGCTTCTGCGAGAAATTTGTCGATTTGTTCTCTTGTCAATACTTTTGACTTTTTCGGTCGATATATTTCACCATTTCGCTTCAAAAAAGCCACAAGCTTGTGATATCTGCTTATGTCATGATCATTTATGTTCATCATCGACTTTAACATAGAGTAATTCGACCAAAGCGTTGACGATTTCCATATTTTGGACTTTTCTTCAAAGTATGCAAGAAGCACTTTTTCACTGGCCTCCTTTCCACTGACATTTTTCTGATCACACCATTTCAGGAAACGTTCGTATGAAAAGTCGTACTGTCGCTTTGACTTACTAGGCGATAATTCAAAAACAGCTTTATTGGCAGCTTGTTCAATTTGCGGCGGAAGAAATTCATTTTCTTGGGCACTTTCCATCGAGGAACGAAGAAACGAGAAAGAATAATTCGTGATTTATTGACGTAAGTTGTCAAGAAAGATAAATCAACAAATTCAATTTTTGTTTACCTTGGTAACTTGTTTCATGAATAGATTAGATTGAATGGGCTTATATCACAAAACATTTTCATTTCATAATTCGATAGAACTCACCCAAACTAGCTCACCACCGCAAACCGTTTCTTGCTGTGAGCTTCTCCCTACGTTTTATAAAAAATTATTGAAATCCCCGATTTTTCGGACCTCTGAAAACGAGGCGATGATGTGACGTCAAAACCCTAATACTGAAACAAGACTATTCCAGACAGAGATGAATGATACATGATTTCTGACAGAGTGAATTAGCTCGAGATCACAGTTGAAAGAATTAATATATCAGTTGCCTCAGTCTCCGTCGGGCGTTTGGTATTGTCTTTTAACTATGGCGAGAAGAGGTTTCTACGTCATAAGAGGGTCCGTTTTCAGAAGGTACTATTATTTATGTCCAAAAATAAAACATTCCAGTTAATTTTTCGATCGAATTGTGTCGTCAATCATTATTTATGTATAAAAGGATCATTATAAACATGGTTTGAGTTAAAAGTTCTACTAATAAGGTGTACACGCCCATCGGATTCAAAACTGATAATCTCGAGGCTGTTATTTAATCAATTAATAAGTAATGTAAAATAGAGTTATGCGGTTATTTGGACATTTAATGGTGTTTGTAGAAAAAATAGTGTGTGATATAGGTATGTGCTAAAAGTGTTTTTTCTTTTCTTCGAAGGGATGGAACACTCCGCCTTCAGCCCAAACTTCCCTTCTCACAAAATAAAATGTCACTTTTAGCACTTATATCATAAATAACCATTCCATGTTTTTTATTAAGTAATCTCTTTCCATCAATAATGGTAGGTACATTTTGATTTTCTAATCTAACATAAGCGTTGTTTCTCCTTACAGATTTTCTTTCTATAAATTTGCTGATGATCCTTCGAAACATGTCCTTATGTCCATGACCGTTGGTTCTTTCACCCCTCCTGATATTCCAAATATTTCAACTTCAGGCATCCATCCAAATTAATCAAATATTCGAATATCTTATCATTGAACTTTGTGATATATACAGGGTATCTCATAACTTAATCGCCATAGAGCAGCAGGTGATACTATGAGATCAAAACATTGAGATTTAGTCATCAATATATTTGTGTTGAGAACGAAACTTATATATATATATCTAGTTCAGCACAGATTATTATACCTCCTCGCACTAGGTCGCCCACTAGGTTTTCATTTAGATCGACAATGGGTATTCTATAGAAAGAAACATTTCAATTTGTCAATGCACAATAAACAGAATGTTTCGATGAAACTCCATTAGAAATACAAATTACAAATTGAATTTAATGAACTAATAAGATAGAGGACTTACCACGGTCAAGTAGCTTGTGAGAACTTCATCAAATGATAATTTGCGAACTTATAAAAACCAATTTATATTATTTTGAGCAATATTGAGTCTTATTTTCTGCGAATGATCAGTGAATGTATTGAAATCATCATATTGAGGAATATCGTTGCATAATCTATAAAATGTATGACTGAAAGATGCATTTATAGGTATACTAGTCACTATCTACAGAATATTTTTTTGATTTGAGTGTGATCAGATATCGAGTCAGATATAGATATAAGTCTGAAAGGTATGATGCAAACTGATTTGAAACTAAACAATATATATTGCAGTTTACATTTTAGATAAGTGTATATGCTTCCAAATATATTTTTTAAATAAGGAGGATTTTCCAGAATTCGAGTACTGAATTATTCCTATTTATTTATAGGTGATCAGGCTCACCCTATAAAGGCACATTGGAGATTTGAATCAGAGGAGCTGATTTTCGAACTATTAAAACTGCAAATTGTTTGTGGAATTGTGGATTTCAAATCTCACATTTTTTCATATTGGCCTGCATATAAAAAGAACAACCTTAAGTACAGTGCCCTTAGTGAGGTTTTCAGACACCCTGTATAAGGGAGAAATATTTTGAGAAAATTGAAGCTGACTGAAAAGTTTGGCGGATACGCTAACACGTTAAATAATGGTGAATGCGCTGAAGAATATATCAAATTTGGCTGCAAAATACCTAATTTCGCCTAACAAAACTGGGGGGCAAATTAACCAAAAATATACAGTCGGAGAAATTCAATTTGTTATCGAAGGGAAACACACTCATTGAACGAAAGATATGTGCATACAGTTTACGACTTACGACTTTATTCTCGGGATCCCGACTTTAATCTCGGGATCCCGACTTTAAAGTCGGGGGTCTCACCTGTACAGGATATCTCTTTATATTTTGATCCCTACCTACATCTTCAACTATACAAAGTGGAGAAAACTTCAAATATAGTTGTAGGGTCCCATCTGTACAATTTTTTTTGCACCCTTTGAACAAACAAATGCGAATCGCGAAATGGAAAAAGAGAGTATGATGGAACCTTCATTACACCCCTCAGGGGCTCACGACTTGTGAGTACGGGAATGGCAATCCCGAGGTACCCTAGCCGGATACTCATTAATCTTCAACTTGTCTTTGATGGTATCCTCTTCACTCTTCAGGTTCCCATCTTTTTCTTTATCGGTCTCCCTTGGTCACTTCTCCCCTTTTCCTTCTCTCCTAAAGCCCAACCTCACCATAGTGCGGGGAGGACAAGCTGCTCGGCAGATTGAGCATTTTGGGAACATCTTTGCTGTCATCACTCAGATGGGACAGTTTTGTGGACATCTGAGTGCGAGGATGTCTTGGGTGATATCCTCTTCTCTTTTACGTTTTCAATCTTTCTATCGGCCTTTCTTGGTCAACTTCTCTTTTCCTCTTTCCCTCCAAGCCCAACCTCACCATCAAGTGGTGTAGGGAAGGCAGGCCGCGGCCGCTTGACAGATGAAGCAATTTGGGACCATCTTTGATGATCTTTGCTATCTTCTGCCAGATGGGACAATTTGTGGACATGTGTAGCAGGGATGGGGCGATTTGCTGATGTCTGTCTAGGTGGTCGAGGACTGGTCAACGAGGCTCTGGCAACCTAATCCAAGCTGTGGGAACCCGTGGCGATGGATGGATGGCACCGAGGAATGGTGTCGATAACGGGGCCTCTGGGAAACAGGGCGACATCCCAGAGTAAACAGCCTTAGCCCTGTACAGGGGGCACCACAGGGCTGGACCAACCCCTTCCCCCGTCACTCGTAGGAGAAGGAAAGCTTTTGGCCTTCTTCGTAGACGAGAACAGGGATCGGAATAGCAATCTTCAGGGACCTGAACGAGAAGGGTATTTCATATTGAAGTGGCCCTTAATAGGCACCATGAGTCGTATGTGGTAAAATTGATAACGGCATGTAGGTGAGATACAATGGGCCACTAGGCCTAAGTGTAGTCGGAGACATCGGTCAGACGAGCCTACAACGGGGTGGAGTGTTTAGTGGGTATACAATGGAGGGGACTCCCACACTATCATATGGGGGATTGGACCCATATGATGTCTATAAAAGATTTCAACCACCTCGGCGAAAAAAAAAAACTTTATTACAGAACTTTTGTGGATGTACATCCGAACGTTACTTTTTATACGAACCTACCTATATATATGTTCATACAATAATTTTACATCCATTGGATAATCATCACAGGATCACTCGAAAACTTCTTCTTTGGATGTACACTGAATGTCAAATAATGGATCACACCTATACGATCATTATCGTAAATACAGGGTGATTGTTCATATTTTACTCAATTGCTAAGAATCTCATTGTTGAATAGATACCAAACAATTGAGAGAATCGGAGTTTTTCAGAGTCATAGAATTCTTTTTAGGTATAATGTCTATATGACTTTGATATACAAAACATATATTTTCACAAACGGAATACCCTGAATTCCATTCCGTCCTTGGGTAGGGCTCAGAAAGATGAGTTCAATGATATATGATAACATGGGTATGAGATCACCCGTTTCGGACTATTTCCATAAAATTCTTCAATAAATAGCCAAATTTCAGAGCCTTATGAAAACGTTGAGAATCAAGTTTTCGATGCGCAGTTTTCATCATGAATTAACAAATTATATATGTTATATTGATATTTTGCCAATATTAAGGAAATTTGAATTAACCAAAAGTGATGGGGAATTTTGCAAACCGACCATTTTCTCGGAATTTTCGAATGGAACGCCCTGTATTTAATTTTATCCTTGGATAGAGCTAAGAAAGAAAAATTCAATGATCCCGAGAATAAAGTCGGACCCCCGACTTCAAAGTTTTACAAAATATGAACTAATTCTGGCAGTAAAACCCTCGGTCCAACGATTGCATGACTGTGCACGCGATTAGATGCGGTCTTGTTGTTTTGTGGTATTGAATGCTTAGTAATAAACGCGATTCGACATGAAACAATCGACGGTATAAGTACAGATTGTATGCATAAATCATAAAATAAATCACCAAACTGACTTCACAGTGTACCGTGTCCATTTAGTTGGACATCAGAACGTACTTCAACTTTGTTCTCTAGTTGGTATTTTTCTTCGCCTTGGAGAACACGATGATAAAATTGAGCAACTATTTGAAGCCGACAGCTCGATCCGGACCGCGCTAAGTCTATTCTCCATTTAATTGATAGATTAGGAGACAAATCTGCAGATATTTTGAAAATTTCAGATTTCCAAATTCCCTACGCCAATTCTTCATTCGAAGAAGCTAACACTGGAATTACTGGTGAAAATAGGTTACCCTTAATGGTAACCAGAAGCAATGTTTTTCTGTCTGTTACGAGAACTCCTGCGTCTATAACAATAAAACAGAGACTGTATAGTCTCTTCCAATTGTAGCGACTGACCTCATAATTTTTTTGCGAAAAATGTGACCATATTAGACTTTTTTCTGTTCTGTATTCGAGTTAATAAAAATTTTGAAAAAAAAATCAGTGACGTTTTTGTATAAAAAATAAACGAACTTTCAAATATTGACTCCAATATTACTGCATTATTATTCTAACGGGAGCTTATAGGTTATAGGAGGTCCAAATAATTGAAATTATTTTTAAAGTCTTCTATATGAAATCAGATGATTCAAAGAATGTTCAATGACTGTCAAAGGCGAACAAACATTCACAAAGACTTCCAAACTAGTTCAATGACTTTTATTTTGATTTCAGGTGACTTCCAATAAAGAATCACAAATATGTTCGTGTTCATCCATCAAATTATTCCATCAAAAGACAAATATAAACATTTCCAAATAAGTACCAGAGTAGATACCTAACAATACTTCCAAAGATATTATTCGATGTAACTATAATATATTCCTCTTCTTCGAACATTTTTCAGACACTGACTGTCGTTTGATGGATTTCTATAGGTTCTCTAATAATGAAAATTTTCAAACGCAGTATCATCTTGGGACAAATTATGTGTTTTTTCCTCACAACACGTATATTATAAAATATGGTAGGTACGTATCTATACTCATATTTTTATTTGTAGAAACGTGGAGAAAAATCACAAGAAATTCAGAGAAACGAATGAAGTGTATTTGATCAACAATAATCATATGAGCAGTTTTATTTCATTTTTTTACAAAAATTCAACTTATTCAACTCAATAAGAGTATCGCCATCCAGCAATAAGAGACTTTCTCAACGAACTAACAATATCAGCCAACTCCGTGTTATCTACAATGTTCATATTTTCTTTCGGATCTATCAAATGGTCATACAATTCTCTACCATAAACTTTCTTCCAGTTAGCTGTGAAATTTCGCGGGTCGAATTTCACCCACTCAGTATATCTGTGTCTGATGGTCTTGATGGAATATCCCATGATTTTTATTTCTCTCAATTTGGGCTTATCGCTATTCGGGATCGAAGTTGGATTCGGACCGGGTCTAGGATATTGAGTGAAAATTGCCTTTTTGCCTTGAGAAACCTACAGAAAACACTTTGAATCACACTTATAAGCAGGTAGGTTACAAAATCAGTGAAGTATATCATTACTATTGGAAATAATTCAGCTATAGAATCCTGAGCTCAAAATATAAATATTTTAACCAATATTCAATCACCTAGATGAAATGTATCTCCTGTCTGAGTTACAGGGTGCTTTTTTCAAAAATTTCAAAATTATTTGTGCCCAGTACTTTGAAACTTTTGGGTGTATGATAAATTGACATTCATCATACAGGGCGTGGAAATGAATTCTGAATTGAGACTCTATCACGAATCTGCGATAAGAGGTCTATAAAAATCACAAGTTTCCATCGTTCAAGTTTGAACCCCCTGATTGGGTATGAAATTGTTGAAAAGGAATATTCTCAGATAAATCATGAACATATAAAAATGGATATATATTTATATAAAGCAATACATTGAGAATTCGCATTCTCTATGTGATGTGTGTATATACATAATTTTTGTCTGAAGGAGAATGCAAATTCTCAATTTCAGAAATTTTTATATTTTATTTTCAAACTCTTATCGTGTGTGTTCAATAGATATAATTCAATGTTCGTCGTGGCATATAGCCAGGAAAGTAGTTGTTTTCTATTGAATTAACTGAAAAAGAGTAAATATTCTCATCACATAGAGAATGCGAATTCTCAATGTATTGCTTTATATAAATATATATCCATTTTTATATGTTCATGATTTATCTGAGAATATTCCTTTTCAACAACTTTGAAACTATTCGACTTATTATTTTCATATTTGGCTGGAAGTGTAGGTATCAATACACCCTACTGATTTATGTCAAATGACCGTTTCTGGCTACTACCAGACGCGTACGCCAGGGGCAATAAGTGACTGGTTGATCCTTCCCAAATTCTACGCCATTGGCGGAATTTCTATTTCCTTTCAATTTTTCGATTTCAATATGGTTTCACTTAAATATCGTACTCCTTCTTCATAGCCATTATTCCTCGAAATATTTCAGGTTAAACATGAAGCTGCACAATTATTATTTTGATTTTGATGTGTATCAATTTTGTCGATGTTTTGGATTATTGGATAGCATTCATTAATAAAATGAAACTTCGATCCATATGAACAGATACAAAACATAATAACATAGCAGACAGGAGCTGTTACAGGGTGTTTTACTATTAATTATATTCAGAATTTAAAACACCGTGTGTAACAACTCCTGTCTGTTAAGTTATCATGTTTTGATTTTTTTCAATATGGATTATTGAAATTTCATTTGGTTTTATTCAATACAATTCATTGATTCAAAACATGGACATAATTAATAAACATCAAAATATAATTGTGCAGCTTCATGTTTAACTTGAAATATTTCGAAAAATATATAATGACTCGATCGATCGCTTTGAAGAAAGAGTACGATATTTACGTAGAGAGTATTGGAGAATCAAAAAATTGAGATGAAGTGATTGAAAAAGTTCGACATTTCGTCTCTGTAGGTTATAAAATGTCACTTTTCATCAATTACTTTTTTCCCACTAGAAAAAAGTGAGCATACTTTTTTCTCGGATATATGTATACACTATGTTGATGTCACTACTAAACAACCACAAATCCAATTACAGTTTTAGACTGACAGATGTTTGATTACTCCAAAAGAATGATAAGGATGCCTGCAACGCAGGCCTGTTAAAGACTTCAAATTTCACGTCGATAATTTTCTGATTCGTCTCCTTTTTCCTGTTGAAATATTTCCAATTAGTAATGTTCATGAATTGTTAGTCGATGCATTTTAGATCTATGGTCGATGCATAGATTAACGTGTCCTCGTATATGGATTACACCCTTTATAAAAGACATTATAGTTGTTGTCGAATGAATATTCTGAATCAAGTATATATGACTGATGGAATGAACCCTGATATTAGGCAACCAACGATACTGTTATTCTATTTCTTTCTTATTGATATTTTTCCGATTTATATCCCTCAACCACATTTTGTATGAAAACGATGAAAACGAATGGAAGTCAGTAAACATTGATTTTCTGATAAACCACCAGAGATTGCAGGTATTCATTTGTAGGTAAGATTAATACCTACTGTACTTTTTTCAGTGTTAACAAGGTGTTTAAACATATATACCATACAGTTTCTCATCTACATATCTTTTGATGAACTACGGGGATAAGTAGGTAATCAATTCTCGCTTCTTTCTCGACTTCCGGTGATTGAAGTTTTATTTTTTATTGGCATAAAAATGTCAATATTCATTTTACCTTTCCCTCTGCCAAATCGAACATAAGTGGTGCCAAACTTTTTCCTTCCGTGCAGATGATATTGTTTAAATTATTTTTTGGGCATACTTTCAACGGTCCGGAAACTTGAGATAAATCAACCAGAGTCGGAAACAGATCTACTAGCTCTACAAGGTTTTCAGACAAAATCTGTCTCTTTGATAAGCCAGGAACATGGATTATCAATGGAACTCGAGTGGCTTCTTCGAAATTACTGAACTTCGAAAATTCACCATGTTCACCTCTAGACCACCCTGAAAAATGATTCATTTCAATTGTATACAGGGTGTCCCATAATAACGTTCGTATACTCCGGGAGATGAAAAAATGTTCCTCTCAACATGTGCCCGAAAATGATACCTAAAAGCGCTATACAGGATATCTAAATAACACCGAAAAAATTCAAGGGGTGATTCATCGTGATATTTTAGGAAATAAAGTTCATATAAACATTTGTCCTAAAACTTGCTTCGGTTTTGATAGACAGGGTATTAATATTTCCATGAAAAATATTTTTTCTATTCATTTCTCAATTGTATTTTCATCAATTTCAATAAACTGTTGTGGTTTTGTAAATAGTAATATAGAGCGTCTCCTAGTGCAATTAGATTCAAAATAATATTTCCAGTGACGTCAGATTGGGTAAATTTATCGATATCCCTGGTGAATGTCATTGTGCACCACTGGTTTTTCTAAGTTTCATATTTTCATTCGATTAAACTATTGAATGAACATTTTTATCCTTTGTGTGATTTTAGTATCTAGCTTATTTTATGAGGAAACAATAAAAATTCGATTTTAAATTTTAAAGCATAGGTGTTTTCAAGACTTCCATTGAGATTGCTCAATAACCCCAATTAGAATCCACCATGGCACCATAAAAGCTTATACAGGGGGGTTATAAATAAAAACAATTAATACTTCCAACTTCAACATCCTGTATCTCAAAAACACTTTATTCGCTAGAATGTCACGAGGATAAACACCCCTTGAATTTTTTCGGTGCTATTTATTAGATATACTTAGGGTGATTCGATCTCATCAAATCGTTTCGTAGTATAGTACGGATTACGGAAAACATGATTCAATATACAGAGTTGTGAAAACACGTAACCAATGCTATAAAAATAGTAAAACTTCACAAACCATGAGATTTCCACAAAATTCTCACACATGACGTGTGTTTGAGAATTTTGTGGAAATCTTATCGTTTGTGAAGCTTTCACATTTGCCATATTATGTATTTCCATCAAGTAACGGCCGAGATAATTCAAATAATCACACTAATTTTTTCGTTTCAAGATTCCCTTAATTTCAACTGCCAGAATATGATTCTTCAAACACTTTTACATGAAAAAGATATTCCTGTTAAAATGCTGGAAAACGGTTATTGTTTATTCTGAAGAAAAATTCAACTATAGTGATTAAGCGAGTAATACATTTGTGAAATTGATTCAATTTCTATTGCTGATATTTTCTCAAAAAATCAACATTCAGACAACAAAACTATCTGGAGATGTGAGATTTCATTTATCAAGTTCTAATGATTTTATGATGAGAGCACACGCTCAAGATCATTGAGAATTTTTTCGGAAATCAAAATGAAAATTGATATTTTTCTCGAAAACGGTTCGTTTCACGGCATTCTCACACGAATGTCTTTTTCATGTAAAAGTGTTGTGAAGAATCATAGCTTGGTTGTAGAAATGAGATACCTAAATCCTGAAACAGAACAGCTTGGGGCATTTTTAAATCATCGGTTACGAGTTTCGCACCTCCCTGGAAATTGAATCATGATTTCCCTGCCACGAAACGATTCGTAATATCGAATCACTCTCTTACGTACCGAATTTCGTGATCCTAGGATCAATGATAACAAAGAAAATTTCATTTATTTTGAACCAATTAGAAGGCTTGCTGCAGAATTAATTTTTTTTTGATGATAGGACATTTCGTGAACTTGAAAAATATTATCGGCAATACAATTCTACTGTTAGGGAGATTATAAGTGATAATTGAGAAAAAAATTGCATATTAGGACCTACATTTTTTTCTTATTTTCATTTGCACCCCCCGGAGTATTCCGGAGTATACGAACGTTATCTTGGGACACGCTGATGTATATTTCCTGCTATATTGGCAATATTGTAATTTTTAACAATATAGGGAACCTTTTTACCAATAAAGGACATGCATGGTTATTGAAAGCCACATCGATGAAATTAATATGGATTACCATGATCAGACGTGATTACCACGATGGTATTATTATCAACAGATTTCAGCAACTTTCCAATCAGATCGTCGACGTATGTCGTAGCAGAGTTGTATGCCTGAATGATCTTTTTCGTAGTATCATCAGGCATTGATCCAAATGGAAATGAAATGTTCAACTCCTTGATATCGTTTCTCCATCTCAAATCAGTCCATGGGTTCCAAGCTACGGTTGGTAGCAAGGAAGGACGCCATCTGTTAGTGGGTAACGATATGTTATCCAATGGGTGGAAATCTTGGAAGAGAAAAGAATGTAGCGTATGAATATACAACAACAATTTACATCAACTATATATGTACAGTGTGTCCAGTTTTCGATGCTTTTGTGTGATATATCAGTTATCTTTCGAGATAGAACCGTGCGGGTTTCGCGATCGTGTGCCACTTTTTTGTGGAACTCAAGATGGCCTAATCAGATTTTGCATAACTGTTTTCGTTTATGAGATACAGGGCGATTTTGAAAATTTATACTTTTTGGACCCCCTCTATATCTACGTAGTTTCTCAGCAAAAATGTCAAATTTGAATCTCATCCCATATGAAAGTTTACGCAGAATCCAGTGGCGCACTCAAAATTTTTTTTCGGGGTATGGTTCTGGAGATACGACTCAAACTTATGGTTTTTTAAATGGAACACCCTGTATTTTATAAGCTCATAAAATTCCTCATTCTTTTCTCTTCAAAATGATTTATAATTTATGTATATGAAATTTTTAAAAATGCTCTGAAATCACTGAAACATTGAATTTTAATTGTGGGCTATGGATTTTTCTTATAAAAAAGTTCCAATTGAAGAAATATTCATTTTGATTTTTCCATAAAGAGGACAAAAACAATACCAACACTAATTAAATAAGAACACACGAAAATTATGTACCTGATACATAGCAACAAATAAATAGTAATAAAAAGTTCATAATGTAGAATAAGCACCAGATTGAATATTTACAAATACAATTGAATTTCGGAATTATTCAATAACTCATTCACTGAATTGTTCAAATTGATGTCCATTTCCCATAACACACAATTGACACAGTTTCTCAATACGTCTTGATACAGTAAGAGTCACAAATATCTGGAAGAACTTCGTGCAACAACAGAGGCAGTTTTCCAGGAATTACAAAGACACCCTTCAATGATTTTGAATGCATTAAGACGTTTTGAGAAAGCGTGTGAGGGAAAGTGGATATCAATTTGAACAATTCAATGAATAAGTTACTGATTAATTTCGAAATTCAATTGTCTTAGTGAATATTAAATCAGGTGCTTATTCTAGAATATGAACTTTTTATTACCATTCATTTGTTGCTATCAGGTACCTAATTTTTGTGTTATCTCAATTAACTAGTGTTGTGATTGTTTTTGTCCTTTTCATGGAAGAATCAATTGAAATATTCTTCAATTGGAACTTTTTTTAAATGAAAAATCCATAGCCCACTATTAAAATTCAATGTTTTAGTGATTTAGGAGCATTTTTGAAAATTTTATACATATTCATCATATTCCATTCTGATGGAGAAAAATAAGGAATTCAATGAGCTTATAAAATACAGGGTGTTCCATTTGGAAAATCATGAGTTTGAGTCGTATCTCCGAAACCATACCCAGAAAAAAAAATTGAGTGCGCCACTGAATTCTGCGCAAAATTCTGTATGGGATAAGATTCCAATTTGACATTTTCGCTGAGAAACTTTGTAGATATAGAGGGGGTCCAAAAAGTATAAATTTTCAAAATCGCCCTGTATCTCATAAACGCAAACAGTTATGCAAAATCTGATTAGGCCATCTTGAGTTTCATAGAAAAGTAGTACAGGACCGCGAAAACCGCAAGGTTCTATCTCGAAAGATAACTGAGATATCACACAAAAGCATCGAAAACTGGACACACTGTACAGTGCTTTTCTTTAATGCCCCCTCCCCCTGTTATTTTTGAACGGGTCAACTGAAAAAATTGAAACTTGAAGTGATGAAATTGGTGCATGAATACTATATTTTGGAGTAGAATTGACAGATGAAAATTTCAAGATGGCGACAAGGCGCCATCTGGGATAAAAAATTAAATGGAAAGGGGGGGGGGTCCTTTGGGCAGGAATATTGGGAAACCATATTGTAGGACCTCTATTCATTGACCAAAATTTAACTGGGGAACTGTATTTGAATATGCTGAAGAATACTGTTGACCCTCTAATCACCGAAATCGTCGAAGCGAATCCTAATGAATTGGATATGGATATTGTATTCCAACAAGATGGAGCACCACCAAATTACTCCAGACAAGTGAGAAACTATTTGGATAATACTTTTCTCGGTCGTTGGATTGGCCGTCGAGGTCCTACGGAATGGCCAGCTCGCTTGCCAGATTTGACCCCTTTAGACTTCTTTTTATGGGGTTATTTGAAGCAGAAGGTGTACGGAACTGGACCGGCTTCAATATTGGACATACGGCAGAGAATAATGAATATTTGTTACGTGTTCGAGAATGTTCGGCGTGAAATATCGAATAGAGGCTGTCTTTATGTCAAGAAGTTCAAGGCAACCATTTCGGGCATCTTCTGAACTGAACTCACCTTATTTTCTGAAAATATGAAGTTAAACGTCGATGTATTGAGACAATTTTTAAATGTTCTGCCATTTGGTAGTAGATGGAGATATTGACTTCATATTCTAGGGTTGTGAATTCGTCAGGAGCTTCAAAATGATGTGTCACAAGACCGCCTTCCCATTTAATTTTTTTATTCCAGATGACGCCTAGCCGCCATCTTGAAATTTTCATCTGACGATTCTACTCCAAAATATAGTATTCAAACAGCAGTTTCATCACCCCAAGTTGCAATTTTGTCAGTTGACCCCTTCAAAAAATAACAGGGGGAGGACATTAAAGAAAAGCAGCACTGTTTACAAAAATTTTAGAAGAATTAATTGATAGATATTTATGTATAACCATTTCAGAAACGCGTCATTTTGAGTAACAATGGGATTTTGCGGGACGAGCGACGTGTTACGTACAGGGTGTCGCACTTAAATGTGCCACCGTCCTTCAACATCCTCGTAATTCACAACATACCTATTTTTGACATTCAAACTTTTTGCATATTTCACTTACTCTGTGTAATCTGTGTAATTCATATGGTTATCAAGATCCCCATAGAGACCTCATGCTGCACCCTTATATTGGGCACACTATACAGGGTGTATCTAGATATCACCGAAAAAATTCAAGGGACGATTCCTTGTGATATTCTAGCAAATAAAGTTCATATAAACACATGTATCCTAACTTCCTTCGTTTTTTTGAGGTACAGGATGTTGAAGTTGGAAGTATCAATTGTTTTTATTCATAACCTCCCTGTATAAACTTTCATGGTGCCTAAATTCAGTATGGTTATAGACTGATAAAACCCTGAAATTTCAAAATAATTGTGATTGGGGTTATTGAGTTATCTCAATGGAAGTCTTGAAAGCACCTACCCAGCGAGCACAAACATCCCTGGGATGTTTTGGGATGTTTTGAAAATGTTCGCATGAAGATGTTATTTTGAGACGTAATATGCACTGACCAAAGAGGTCTTTGAAGGATATTGAAGTATTGTTTTTGTTCTTCTGTGGCATTTCTTTGTTTGCCTACTGAGAGGTATTCCTGGAATGTTTTGGGATGTTTTAGAAATGTAGGCATGAGGATGTTTTTTTGAGGCGTAATATGCAGATGCACTTCCCAAAGAGGTGTTAGAAGGATATTGAAAGTATTATTTTTGTTCTTTTGTGCCCTTTCTTTGTTTGCCCCACCACAACGTCTCATGCTTACGTCACAATACGATGAATTCTGATTTGTTTTCGATTTTGTTCTTCTTGTTCGCAATTATTGGCATTCGCGCTGCTAACGAACAGAAAGGAATTTGGTGAAGTTTATTGTGTTAGAAGACTTATTTAGTTTGTAATAATGATATTAATAATAATCAGATGCAAGATGTGTTGTTCGGTGCCTCAGTGTAATCAATATATGAAAGTATGAATTTATCAATCAATACACAGCTTCTCCGCAGTTGCAAAATTATGCATTGTGGAGAACATTTCAAAAATTGGGAAACCTATTTCCAATTATATGTCTGTGTGTAGTAAGCACTACTCAGAAACCGATTAAGAAGGTAATTTCATATCAAGAAAATATTTTTATGTTCAATCTATTTTTAATGCATTTTTTCATTCAAGGGAAATGGAATCCTAATGCAAAAGTTCATTTTGACAAAAGGCTTCAGAAAAGTACCTCGAAAATGTTTTTTTACAGCGATTTAATGTGCGCAAGACGCGTTGAAAATGTTTTGTTGTGTCCATGAAAAGGCTTCAAAAAGAACTAGGGAGAAGGTAGTTTTGTTACATATCAAGGACATCTCGATAATTGCCGCCTGCGGCGGACATTGGCTGTTCTATAATAGTTCTATTCATGTGTGAACAGAACATCGCAGTGGAGGTTCAATGTCTCGAAATCTCGTACTTTTAACATCTCTGAGATGTTTTTGTGCTCGCTGGGTATACCTACAGTAAAATTTGGAGTCAAATCGAATTTTTATTGTTACCTCAAAAAATGGGCTAGATAGTAAAATCACACAAAAAGTTGTTATTTAAATAGTTCAATCTGATAAAAATATGAAACTCAGAAAAACCGGTGGCGTACAATGACATATTCATCATAAATATCGATAAATTTACCCACTGTGACGCCACTGGAAATATTATTTCGAATCTTATTGCACCAGAAGAAGCTATCCATATTACTATCAACAAAACCACAACGTTTTATCGAAATTGATGAAAAGACAATTGAGTGATGAATAAAAAAAAACGATTCTTCATGGAAATATTAATACCCTGTATCTCGAAAACGAAGCAAGCTCCTAACTGTTCATACGAACTTCAAGGAATCACCACTTGAATTTTTTCGGTGTTATTTATATATACCCTGCATAATATCACTTGATAGGGATAATCCGAGAAATAATCCTTCAGAAGATTCAGTTCCTCTTTCAGTTGTGCCAAAACACAATAACCCCGACAAAAACTAACATTGGCAGTGACTTGTTAGGTTCTGTTTGTCGTGATTTTAAGAATTAAGAAAATTACCCAGATATCTTGAAGGAAATCTGAAGGGTATGTGTGGTTTATGGAATCCAACGGCCAAGAAATATGGTCTTTCAGAAATATGCTTCTTATATTTCAGAAATCGTTGGGCTTCCTCTAAAGATTCCAAATCGGGAAGAGTCCCGAGGGGTTGGGATTCGGTAATCACAGGACAAATCAAATTCTTCACATATTCCCCTCTCTTCCCAATACAAACTTTTTCGTTCATATATTTTTCCGTTTTTGGATGGAATGTTCTCGTAGTCCAACTGTAGGGATAGTCATCTGTAAAGTTTGAGGATTTTCCTGGATGGAAGACCTTTCCTATCGAGTAAGTGTAGTAACCATTTTGTTTGAAATGCTGAGGAATTGTGGTGAAATTCCCCGCTGTGTCTCTCCAGTAACTGTAAAAGTCGTACAGTTTCGTGGAATCTGGTCTTCTACTGGTAAGCAAAGAATTTCGGCTTGGAGCACAGAGTGCTTGCTGCAAAAAAATTGATAGACGATGTACCTCGCCATTACAAAATAGAAGACAGCATTCAAATAAATAAATTAAAAGTGAATGAAACTATAAAAAAGGTTCCATTTAAACGCTCTTAAAAGGAGAAAATGAAATTTTCCTTTTAAATTGAAACTATCAACTCATAACCTCATTATGCACAATTTATATCCCCATCTAACTTATAACATATAGTTGTCTAGGGAAATGCAGTTTCATCTCAAAGACTGTTGATATCACAAAAGAGTACGATTGATGATGATCAATATTTTATTGAATTGAAATTTTGAGCATTTGAACTTAGCAGATCTTACAGTCATAATTAATTTGGTAGGTACTATAGTTTATTGACGCAAGTGAATCGCAGTTTAAATTTTCAATATTTCAATTTGATCAAATATTGATCAGAGCGAAAAGCTTTCATGATCAATATAAATTATGTATAATAAGGTTTATTGGTATAAAGTTAAAATTTAAAAGAAAAACTGTATTTTCTTCTTTTTAGAGCGTTTAAATGGAAGATTTTTGTTAAAAAATTTTTCTACTTTTGATTTATTTGTTTCTTTTTTCACGCTGGCTCAGTTTATCAGTATGACGTCCATCTCGCCAAATTATTCAAGTCAAAGTTGATCAATCGATGTTACAGGCTTGAAAATAGTCATCAGTTCTACCAACCTTGTGTATTTTTATTCTCAGCGGACCCTTTTATTCAATAGGAAAACACAAGAAACTTCAATAGTGCGCCATATTGGATTTAGAGTGATGTCACATCATTTCTAATTATTCTCGACAAGCTGTTTCATTTGATACTCATATTGCAGAAGTTCATAAATAGTAACTATTCCGCCATCTTGGATGGTCTGCCATATTGGATTTGGAATGACGTCACATTATTTTTTGAGTTGCTCTCAACGAACCATTTCATTTGATACCCATATTGTATAAGTAGATTGAAAATAACTATTCTGTCATCTTGGATGGTCCGCCATATTGGATTTAGAATGACTTCACATTATTTTTCGAGTTGCTTTCAATGAGCCCTTTCATTTGATACTCATATATATTGTAGAAGGGCATTAAAAATAACTATTCCGGCGTCTTAGATGGTCCGCCATATTGGATTTAGAATAAAGTCAGACACCTTAACGTGCATTATTGTCATCCAAACTAAAAGTGTATACAAAATTTCAGCTCAATCGATTGAAGATATTTACTTCAAAATTGTGTTCAAAGATTCCACAAACATACTTACATAAATACATTACATGTGAAATAAAAGCTTTTAACTTTCAATTAAAAATAAATATAACAAAGTTGTTGAGTAATAAAATTAAGATACGCCACTGACAATTATTATACATGCTGATAGAGGTTAGTGCGATGCTAAAATAAGGGGAAGGTGCAGATATGGAGGGGATGCGAGATTGACAAGGGATCGGGAATCATCGGCTGTGACTCGGCAGCGCGTGCGACGTTGCCAGTTGCCAGTGCTAGAGCCACTCTCGGCACATTCGGTCAGACTTTTAACGAGAACGAATTTGATCCTTATTTCATCTGCCTGTTCGTGCTCGATTGCTATATTTTTTTGTCGAATGATATGATATTATGAAAAAAGCCAGACTGGAAAAAAATACGATGATTCGATGATGGATGGCGGGACGAAGGAAATGGGACAATTCTTTCACAATAACTTACCTGGGCAAAGGCGTTGTTAAACAAAAAACTTTTCCTTGCAAGAGAATCAATGTTCGGCGTATGTGCATTTTTGTCTCCATAGCATTTCAGCGCAGGTTTCAAATCGTCCACTATTATGAAAAGGACATTGGGTCTTTTCGAATGTACTTGTGCAATATTTAATAATAAAATTAATAGCAATGATGATAGAAGCATCTTGTCTTCATACTTACCTATATATTAGCAAAATTAATTATTCATCTCTCATTAATAAATCCGTCAATAATATTTATTTAATCATTAAATTTATGATCTACTATTTACCTTGTAGGTACAATCAGTTGCAAAAATCTATGATTATGTTCATCCGCTGTTTCCAGTGTTTCCAGTTCCACTTTCCAGTGCTGTACTGCTGCAAGTATAGACAGGCGCAGGCACATAGTTGAGGTAGGAAAAGGGGATAAATTTTTTTTCCAGTTCAATTTATTATTTGCTTTGTACCGGGTGTCCCAAGAGTTATCGTATGCAGGCAATAATAATATATCGCTTATTGGACAAGATAATCAGAAAATGAAGAAACTGCTTTGAATGACATCGAAGCACGGAAGCACCTTCCGAATGAATCATACAAAAATGGCATACATTTGACAGCTCTGTGGTAGCTACTCTTATTTTTATTTTCAAATGGCACACCCTGAATTTTATTCCCTAATCGGTTGAGGATTATCATAACGAATTCTACGACACGGGGGGTTTTGATAGGGATATTTCAAACGATAACGAAGATATTCGCGTTCTAAAAATTTCCATAATATGCTCAATATGAGTGTGACAGCGAAAGAAGTTTCGATATATTGCGCACTATATCACATGCACCCATATATTTGGTATATGGAAACTTCAAACGTACCTTAATATCTCCGTAATAATCGTTTGAAATAATCCTATCAAACCTGGTCTGGTATCATTGAATCAGTTATGATAATCCCTAAACCGATTATGGAATAAAATACAGGGTGTGCCATTTGAAAATAAAGAGTGAAGAGTAGCTATACCCACAGGGCTGCCAAATCTAATCAATTTTTTATGAGTCATTAGGAAGGTGTGCTTCGATGCCATTCAAAGCAGTTTTTTTCAGATTCTGAATATCTCTTTTCAAATAGATGAGCAAGATAGGTATTCGCGATAGAATTAATACGTCGCCCCACCTGACCGCAATACATCTTTTGAACATTTCTGAACCGTTTGTTTTGAGGATACGACCAATAAGAAGAAAAAACAAATGTGAAGCAATGAAAACAAAGTAAACAGGCCGCTTTGACAGCTTTCAAGAACTCCGATAGGTGACGCTGACGCGTACGCTTATTTTCTATCGCGAATTGCCAATTGCCTGTATCGAACGATATCTTGGACACCCGGTATATCAGGATGAGAGACCTTTCTTGTTTCAATAATAAGCTAATCTCATTCATTTCGGGAATTGGCCATCCATCATCCGAGTCATACGTCAGTTCATATTTTTTATTGGACCTTGAGAGGTGAGACTATGGTGAGAGCCTCGAAAGACAAGTATCCGTCAACATAATAATTTTGTTACTGACTGTACGAAGAGTACGCAAATATTTAAAAACTTGTGGTGGGAGTGTCTATCAGGGGATCAGGGGAAGTGAAAGACCAATCAGCTGATTTGTGTCTGTTGTTGTGTTATGTTATGACAGTTCATTCACAGTTCATTGTGGAAAATTTATGGTGAAGCTTTTTTCGTAGGTATTATCCATTTTCAAGACAGTGTATTTATTCAGAAGACTATTGATTGTGGTCAAAATCAAACAGTCAATCAATCTCTCGAAGGCATTTTCGTAATACTCTGCTTTTCAGTCAGATAATTTGAAAATGACGTCAGTCATCAGCCAACCAGCGAAATGACGCAGTTTTGCGTTTCATTTAAAATAAAATGATAATTTGCCATTGAGATTCAGGTAAGTGATGATTTTTATATTCTTGAGACGATTCTCAATTTTGAACAGTCGGAGATTTAAGTTGTCAGCTAGCTAGTTTTTTATAATAGTGTCCTTCAAAATCTCCCACACCCTTTGTTCTTGTTGTCGATTTTGCTTTGTTTGATTACCTTTCTTTATTCATTTTCTTGTTTCCCTGATCAGCTGTCTCAACATATTATTATGAACCCAATATCTGTTCATTAGGAATAAGATATTTCATTAATAATTATTCATGGGAATTGACTGCCCAGATATAGGTATTATCTGAATGTATTTTTGAACAAAACTGTAATCAAAATATTATTATTAGAATCTACCTAACTCATTTTAAAAATACTGTGTTCATATTTAAATAGGCAACATGAATAAAAACATTGATGCTTTTCTAGGTTCACAAACCAAAAATATAATGTCTGAATCACCAAATCGTTCAATAAGGTCTCAAACAACCGTGGGGCCCACCACGGTTGCCCCCCAACTAGTTACTGACCCCACTATTTTAGACAGTGTAGCTGGTTTCATAAATGATGTGGTCCCTACTACCCATAATGGCCCACAAGACACCAAAGATCAGATACAGTGGGCCCATTTCGAACAGTTAGACTGTGATGAGCCCCCCATTTTGTGTAACAATGACTATGAGAAGCTGGCACCACCTGCTGTCATTTTGGTGTTGGGATATACAACTGGAATACAGGTATTCAACATTTTCAAGCATCCTGATTTTTCAAATATGTACTCATATCAAACCCAGTAGGGAAAAATAATGTTTGATAATGTAGTACCTACGTACTCAGATGTCTTATAGTCTAAGAAGTTTGATTTTTCACTTGATCTTGAGTGATTGAAATGAAAATGATTTTAATTTTCAAATAATTTTCAGGTTTGGGCCATTCCTGCCAATGGAGAAGCAACAGAGATACTGTCATGGAGGCATGGTTCTGCTAGGATAATAAAATTTTTGCCAACCCCTTTTGTGGTGGGCAACAACAAAAGAGATATTTTTGCTTCAAAGAGGCCTATGATTGGTATTTGTGATAGCTCTTCAACTGGGCCTCAATTTAGTTCATTGAATTTTATTTCATTGAAAACAGGAGAACAGGTAAATATATGAATAGACAGATTGGAAAATTTCACACCCTATTTTGTACAGGTGATTAACTTTACTGGCCCTATTTTACAACTAAGTCCTCAAGTTATCTGTTTTCTTATCAAACAAAGTCTTGGAAAACTCCACAAGCTGTAACTTGTGTTTTTTTAAAGAATGAAAGATAATTATTTGAGGTTCACTGACCTATTCTCAGAATCAACAGAGGCAACAGAAGATGAATTTCTTGTTTCTGAATGGTAAATTATAATTCTTCATTTATTTAATGCTTCCTTGATATTTGAAGTATTGTTGATGAAATTCAACTTCACTCTTTTAATGCTACAGAAAACAATGGAATCATTAAATTCAACTACTAGAGCCACTGTATATCACACACTGTGGTTGTTCTAATTTTAGTGAAAAATTTCAGTTATACCTATCCACCAAACATGTAAGCATATCAAATGGTATAAAACTATCTTGAACAGTATTGAAAATACAAGTGAAGCAATTGTTATTTATTAAACAAGGAAAAAAGTCATAGATTATAGTTCCAGGTTGTGGAGGAAAGAAATTGTGAGCTAAAATCTAATATTTTTCCCAAGCATCTTTATCATTCTTTTGAAGTAATCAAATATCTATCAGTCTAATTCTGTGATTTGATTTTCAAAAATTGCGAATTTAGGGGTAGTTCAGTAAATTACATAACCATGAAGTTGAATGGATGATAAGGACTTTCTGGAAGATGGTGTAATTGGCTTATTTTTCGGAAATATAGCACAACAAAAGCCATCAACAGTGTATATATACAGTGTGTCCACCTTGAGAACTTACCACCCCTGTAAAATCGTTATTATCCGACCAATTTCAAAAAACCTTTTTTTGTTGGATAGGTATTTGAAATGCCCATCCAACGAGAGAGTGATCTAATTCTTGGACTGTTATCATGGCCAACTGTGACAAATTTCAATGACCCATATTACAGAAAGTACTATTAGGGATTTTTTTCCACAAAACTAGATGATGGATTCTGAATCAGTACCACTTTAAATATACCTGTACCGATTTTCATCATCCTAAAACACAGGGTGTCTGAAAAACAAATCATCATTTTCTTCAAATAGGTGATCAGCAAATGTTGTTCTGTGGTTTTTCTAGAAAGAAATAATCACAAATTATCATTGATGATTATTTCAAATATACCTGTACCAATTTTCATCATTTGAACATACAATGTGTCTGAGAAAAAAATTAAGAAGGATAGGTAAGCAATATTTTTCATTCTGATAATTCTTCACTCAAAATAAAAAGATGAATCAGGATCACTTGGAACATACCTGTACCGATTTTAATCATCATTAAACAAAAATTAATATTTTTTTGAGTTGATGAAAAAATATTGCCTACTTTTTCTTTTTAATTGTTTTTGCATACACATCGTATTTTTGAATGATGAAAATTGGTGCAGATGTGTTCATCGTGATCCTCAATAATAATGTGTCATCAATTCTTCTCAAAAATACCACATTACTAGATTTTCTGATCACCTATTAAAAAAAAACATTATTTGGTTTTTCGGACACCCTGTGTTTTATGATGATAAAAATCAGTAAAGGTGTTTTTCAGGTAATCTTGATTCAGAATCCATCATTGTTCTTTGTGAAAAAAATCCCTAATAGTACTTTCTCAAATATGGGTCAATAAAGTTGGTCGCAGTTGGCCACGATTACAGTTCATGAGTAGAATCACTCTCTTGTTGGATGGACATTTCAAATACCTATCCAACAAAAAAAAGTTTTTTGAAATCGGTCAGATAATAACAATTTTACAGGGGTGGTAAGTCCTTAAGGTGGACACACTGTATGTGATATATATCCGGGAAAAAAGTACTCACTTTTTTCCCATGGGAAAAAAAGTAATTTATATGAAACCAGACATTTTATAATTTTCCGTCACAGAAAAAATATGTTTCTATTCACCCTGTAGTTCATAAAAACTGCATAGATTTCAGGAGGATGTTAATCAATGTTCTGAGTGGCATACAGCCAGGAAAGTAGTTTTCTCTAATTGTCTACCATTTTCATTCATTTATGAACATTTGTGGAAAGTACTTTGAGCTTTAAGTATTTAATCGACAATGTATGACTTGAAAAATATTGATGAAACAACATTGGTTCAAAATTTGTAATATAATCCCATTGAAATTATCATGTTTGAATAATGTAAATTTCAAAAGAAGTGTGTTCTATAATAGCAAATATAAAGAAATAGTTATTTAACCAACTAGTGTATTAACGAGGGCGATTAATGATCGAGATATTTTAATGTTCGAGATCATTAATCGCCTTTTAATGTACAAGTTGGTTACAACATTTTTCCGTCGACTACATTTCTCATTTCTCCTGCATTGAAGAAAACTTTGTTCGCGAATTCATCATTCATCTGGAAACTGCTAAGAATCACCCAGTAGCCTCTTGTTACTGACATTAGTGACATTTGGCATTTGTCGAAATGATCAACATAGAAAATAACTATACTTCCTTATACCAGAACTTGATTCTGACTGGAAGTAACATTTTCAATAAATAAATAAATAAATGCAGATTCCGTAAGTTATAGCATAAACAATGAATGCACGCAGTGTATGTTTGGCTGCCTATAAAGAATCGTGCATTAATATACGAATCGTTCAATAATAGGGGTCATTGATGAACGATTTCATGTACATAAAACTTAGTCGTTAATACAAGGTCGACGGAAATCGATTTTTAAGCAACTGTTTTTCTGTTTTCGTATTTTATTTTTGTTTTTATGTCTATCTTACTCATTTATTTTTGAGTATTGAGTGTATGAACTTGCCAGAAACATTCTTATAGATGAAAAAATGCCTCCACTACTCAGAATACAACTGTTTCATATGTTGAGGAAGTTTCAAACATTCGAAATGTGACCTCGAAAATTCGTGCAACATTAATAATATTTGAGAAAATAGAACATAAATGTATTTTAATTGATTGAATACATACAGTACAGTGTGTCAAGGAGTCCCACCTTGAACTTGTCACACCACTTTTATCTGAAGTTGTACAAAAAATAAATCACTCAGACCAAGGAGGAATTCTTCCAACATATACATTAACCCTCTCATCTACAGGACCCCCACTACTTCAGAATTTTCAATATGACTATTATACTTGTGATACGTCCATTTGATGGGAATTGAATCCCGAATACATCAGTGTAATGTAATTGAAAATAAATTTCGATAACTGCATTCAGTGCAAATATCAATCAATATGACAACACGATCGACGACAACTCCAAATTAGTTTCTGCCTAATATCCCTCCGACATTGACAAATGCCTCATGATTTTACAATAAATTTCTCAAGGTCGTTGCTTGGTAATAACCCTCGCCTTAGAAATGTTACCAAGGAACGAGCTTGAATTGTCATGAAATTATCTCGTCTATTATCAATGTCCTAGGGATTATTGCTACTGGTAATCAATCAAGTGTTTTTGAAGTTTCAAGGAAAACTATATATTATCAAGATATGTTATTTTTCATTATTTAATTTTCAATTTTTTTACTACCTGAGATAAGGGGGTGATAAGTATCAGCTGGGACCGACTATATAAGAATATAAATGATCTCCTGTTTGATTTTATGGCATCAAACAGTTTTTTGCCAAGTTGCATTAGTTATTTATTATACAAGGGAAAAAAGTAGTAGATTTTAGCTCCAGGTTGTGTTGTCTCCCGACGCGTAGCGGAGGGAGACAAAAAACCGTGAGCTAAAATCTAATATTTTTCCCGTGTATAATACACTATTTTTTTCTGTGACAGAAGGAAGGACGAATCAATATTGAGAAGATATTACATTATTTCGAAATCTGAAAATTAGCGACGTGAAATTTCCAGTTTTTAACAGTAGGGACACCTGCGTTTTATAGACATCTTTATCATTCTTTTGAAGTAATCAAATATCTGATGTCACTTCTGTCAGTTCAATTCTGTGATTTGATTTTAAAAAATTGCGAATTCAGTAGTTGTTTAGTAATATAAGAAACCGCGAAGTCGAATGGAAGATAAAAGGATTTGCAGTTCTTTCTCGGAGACGGTATTATTGACTCATTTTTCGGAACTATAGCACAACAAAAGCCATTAACAGAGTATATATATGTGATATATATCCGGGAAAGAAGTACTCACTTTTTTCCCACGGGAAAAAAGTAATTTATGAAAAGTGACATTTTATAACCTGCCAACAGAGATGAAATGCCAAACTTTTTTCCCGTCACAGAAAAAATAGCATTTTTAGTTGACCTCTAAAAAAAATTACCAATTTTCGAATGAAAGGTCGACTATTTTTTAAGGAAAATAAATTTCGTCCGCAAGCACTTTTCCTTCGCAAAATCTTTTCGTCCGCTATGGTCACTATCAGTTTGCGGTCGAAAAGTACTTTTGTAAAAAATAGTCGATTATTTCTTTGGAAATCAGTACGTAAATTGTAATTTCTTGTAGGGGATGACGAAAAATTGTAGATTGTTATATTATGATCCTCTGACCATCTTGATTAATCTCATATTCGGTAGCGGAAAATTCCCTGATATTTTCAAATATTCAAGAGTAGTTCCTATTCCTAAAAAGGATAATCATTCGGAAGTGGATAATTTTTGACCAATTTCTATTATCTGCATATTTTTTAAAATTGTTGAGATTCTTTTGAAAAATCAAATTCAGAATTACTTTGAATCCAATAACTTTCTGAATAATAGTCAATTTGGATTTTGAAAGAATAAATCAACATCACAAGCTGTGATGAATGTTGTGAGAGAGATAGTCGAGGGTCTTGAAAGGGAAAATCATACTGCCATCACCTTTTGAGTGTTCTAACCAAGGCTTTCGATTGTGTCACTCATAATATTCTTCTGGAAAAATTATCCTACTATGGTTTGAGAGAAGTAGTTTTATCACTTACTAAATCATATTTAGAAACTCGTTTCCAGAAG